GGTACGAAGCCCGGCTGGGACGAAAGTTTTGCCCACAAATCAACCCTTTTGTGATAACTCAGTATTGTTTTGATACGAATTTCTAGTCGTTCCAGAGCGCTACTCTTTTATGATCAATCAGTGCGCTTGTTTCAGTCCCTGTGCGAATCAGATCTCGAGGTCCGACTCCGTGAGGCGATACGACAGCGAGACGAGCAGTGGCGACGTCACGAACGTGAACAAATCGTTTTCCTTCAGAACGAGACCGCGGCCATGCTGCGAGGTCTTCATAAAGAAATCGAGAGACTTGGATATCAGTTAAAAGGTAATCTTCTGAACGGCGAGTTACACAGTGTAAACAAAATTAAACATCAGTGGAGCATTGGTTCTGAACCCAGATTACTGTAGTAACCAGAGTGCGTTCTGAAAACCCGTGCAACACTTCTTTTTTATGGGGTAATATTCGCTATATTGCCAGAAATCGCTCTTGTCTATGCACCTGTTCAGCCGCTCCATTTCCTCGTCGTGCCACTCGTCACTTGTTGTTGTTTATTTGGGTCAGTTGTTGTATAATGCGCTCTGCCTGACTTGATTTATTCCAACTAAGTCAGGCTTAACCATCAAATCCTTCACAATAGTCGAGAGTTATCACAAGAATGCTGAGTTGTGGGCAAAACTTTCGCCCCAGCCGGGATTCGTACCCGGATCTCTTGCTTTCCGGGCAATTGTGCTACCAGTTACACCACCGGGGCACCAGAAACAAGATAAGAAAGGGTGAAAAACTATTTCTACACCCCTTTTTATATAACTGTAAAAGTGATGTAGTGGCAAGAGGCGCTACTCCAAGCAGAGGTTCAATTCCCGGATCGAATTCAACTTAGGCAATTCAAGTCTGTCTTTCTTACCCCTGCAGGCTTTGTCCCTTATGACTAGTTTTTCGAGAGCGTAAGTTGATCCTTCAGAGAGCGCTCAAGGGCAGCCTGAGGGCAGTGCCAGTCATCGAACATAGCCCTCGAGCTTTCAACCTTTGGCGCTTTAGTTTTTTCTCCGATCATTCAGGACGCGCGCAAGTTACACATCAGTCACCTGCCGTAATTTTATGGGGTGCGTCGATTTTTTTACAGGCAGTCAAAGTTTCTGAGAATGTCTAGAGACTATTGACCGATTCAAAGGGTGAAAAGCGGGTCTAAAACGCTCTTTTTGCTTTTTCTGTATGGTGTGGTAACAGTTCTCTTGAGAAGGGGTCTTAGCCGTCGGGGAAAGGGTATTTTTAAAGGACTACTGTGTGGTAGACGAAACGTGGTAAATGTGCGATTCCCCCAAATGGAACTATTATGTGCTGATTTACTTGTTGGTGAAGAAAAAAGGTGAAAAAAAAAACTAAGAAAAACCCCTTCAGTGAAGCGCTCCTTTTTCTGTGCCGTTAGATGGTCAAGGAGAAACAGTACAAGAGACAGTGTGGAGGAAGAACGACAGACGGTGACGATGACGAGAGCATAGTGTGGAACGAGGCAGCAGATACCGCAGAAGTGGGCGTGTATGGTTGCTTGAGTAATCCATAGCTGCAACCTTTGAGCCAATAGCGCTCCTTCCAAGCGTTTTCTGCCCACGAAATGGCTCCACCTCTGAACCCAGTAACCCTCATTCGGAGGGAATGGCTCAGGGATTCAGCTGTAGAAGGTGCCTTCAATGATGTTATTCAGGGGCACTAAAATACCAATATTCTCCTACCAAAGGCTTCAGGAAGGGCGGAAGTGGTGTAGTGGCAAGTGGCACGCTTACCACGCGAGCGGTCCGGGGATCAAATCCTGGGTCGTGAGTCGCCCGGGCCAACCAAGCCTTCCATCCCTCCGGGGTCGGTTAATTGGTACCAGACTTGTCTGGGAGGACTTGTCTGGGAGGATAAAAACACTGACTTGTACATCGGCTGGCCCCCGCAAGTCATTGTATAGGCCACATCGCATTCAAACGCCACTACGAATGTACAAATGGAAGTAGAATGCGTGCCGCATCCCAAAAGGGATTGGCAAATGCTTATCCTTTTATCTTCGGAAGGCTCAAGTTTGACAGGACCTTATTTTGGCCACTGTTCATTTTTGGCAACGCAAACGCTCTCCACTGAAAATGTTTTGTTGTGATGCCGTCTGACCACGTAAAAACTATGCGGGGATTTGCATGTTTTGCAGATGCAAAGCGCCAACTGTACGTGCCGGATGATTCGCCCTGTGATCATTCGGAAATGGAGGCGAAAATCGAACAGCAACAGGAACGAATTCGACAACTCGAACAGGCAAGTCAATTTCCTCCAGCACGATTGTAAATCTTCTTGCATCATTTTCATCATCTTCTTCTTTCATAATCTCCTCTTCATTTTCATCATTATTCCTTGCATTTTTTCATTGAATCATTTCCTCAGGGCTTTTCATAGGTTAACGGCATCACCGTTTATTGTCAAATGATTTTCTTCTGTACTTTTCGCCAATTTTTCGGCTCGCAGGTATTGCTCGAGGAATTTAACGGCATGAAAAAATCTCATAAGGAAAAAATATAGCCCATTGTAAAACTCAAGTCTGGAACGAGAAGCATTCGGCTGGTTATCGCGAAAGCGATCACGAGCTGACTCATTTGTTCGCAATTCGCCACATGTGTGACTTTATGTAGGTGTGTAGTGTGAGTTTTTAGCGATTCTGGTGCATTTACATTGGGTCGGATTTCATCTGGATGACGCACATGTTTGGTTTATGGGATTAGAAGGTCAACCGACCTTCAGTGCGATCATGTCCTAAGGGGGACATTCAAAGGTTACGATAGGTAGGTTTGCATAGGGCGTAGGCCCAGTATAAGGAGAAGCTCGGGATCCTCTAACGATTGCTTCGATTTCAAAACAAGGCGTCCCCGTCTTCTGAGACGTGATAAAAAACACATAGATGTCACAGGTGAAAGCTGGTGAAGCCTATAATCTAAGAAAAAGAGAGGATAGACTTTAAGTTTGGTGCCAGGTCTTGACCATTTAGGACAGGTGCACTCTTTCATATTCAACACAACAGAGGCAATGTGAATGGATAACTTTGAATTTTATCCGTTGAATTCAAAATGAATGGTGGGGAGGAACCTAATAAATTTTGTCAGTCGGTTGTTTTTTGGCCTCAAAGAAGTAGTAAAAATCTACTGAATTGAATATAAATGAAAATTGTAGCTAATTGCAAAGATTTTTCTCTGTACCAAACAGGTTTTTGTATAGGGTGAAGGTTTATTGTGCGACTAGGTTCCGTCGTCTCAAGAGCTCTGAAGGAAGCATCTCCCGATAATTCTCATATGAAATTTATCTATGGATAGGCGAAAGTCGAGGCGTCAGCACAAAAACGCTCCACTATGAGAAACACTGTTTGGCCACAGTAGAAAACTTCATTATCGGAATGCCAAGGTTTCAAGAAAGGAGAACTTGGAAATTGTTAGCCTCAATGAGGAAGAATCTTTGAGAATTTCCCTTGAGAAACTCAGAGATACGACGGAAAAACCTGGGACGGTAGTAAAGTGCCATAGACTGGGAGTCAAAGGTGGTGAACTGCGGCCGTAAACGGCGAATAATGAAAGGAGAAACAGGGAGGTGACCCTAGGATAGACGGCGAACTTCAGCACGATGTTGGCAAAACTGCTGCATCGCCCGGAATTGAACTCTCTGCTATTCACTTGACAGCGGGCACTGATACCACTGCGCAGAACAGCCGGTCGGGGGGAGAGGGGACCAGCGGATCAATGGGCATGGCAGGGACGCAGAAAGACGGCGAGGCAATTTGCCAAAACGGCGAGCCGGCAGAGAAAGGAGAAAGTGGATGGAGATTGAAGAGACCATAGACGGTGGCTAAAATGTACCCCCGAGTACATTTTATGGTCTCTTCAATCTCCATCCACTTTCTCCTTTCTCTGCCGGCTCGCCGTTTTGGCAAATTGCCACGCCGTCTTTCTGCGTTCCTGCCATGCCCATTGATCCGCTGGTCCCCTCTCCCCCGGACGGCTGTTCTCTACCTCAGCAACCCTTCCAGCAGTATGTGCAATGCAGCGTTGTGTGGCGCAGTGGTATCAGTGCCCGCTGTCAAGTGAATAGCAGAGAGTTCAATTCCGGGCGATGCAGCAGTTTTGCCAACATCGTGCTGAAGTTCGCCGTCTATCCTAGGGTCACCTCCCTGTTTCTCCTTTCATTATTCGCCGTTTACGGCCGCAGTTCACCACCTTTGACTCCCAGTCTATGGCACTTTACTACCGTGTCCCTGGATGTGAATCATGATTGTGAGAATGAGTGCACAGTATTAGGAAAGCTTCAGTGAAATTCGGGAAAGGGAAAAAGGCGCAATGTTATTGACAGCAAAGCGGCAGAAACAGTTGAGAGAAACTGCAAGAACAGATCAATATTCAGGTTTGATCCGTTTTTCTTCAGAATGTTCTGGTTACCTGTGAAAATCCTTCTTATAGGCAGATCGAATTCGGCAACTCAGCAACGAACTTAACGAACGTAATCAAGCTTTAGCCGTTCTGAGCAGTCAGGTTATGATGTTATTATTATCAGGTTCCTTTTCATGGAACCGTTTTTATTTAATAGATATATAAGATATACTTTTGTCTTATTCTTTATATTGCCAGCTTCCGAGAATTTGAAGATGATTCTTGCTTTTGAGAATGGAAATGTGCACAAAATCAATATCTTCAGACAAAAAGGGAACACGATATTTTTTGAAATGCAGTTCTTGAATAATATATATTTGCTAAATATGATGCTGAAATTCACCTGATCTCTGTATTGGACCTTCGAGTAATTTACTATGGTCATGAACACTTTGATATGGTAGTGATCGCTATTCGCGAAAATAACCGCCTCACACTCCCCCCATCTCATTTAATAAAAATTCGTTGGCTGGCTGTGGAATTGAGTGAAAGCCCTGGAAGGAATGCACCGTTTGGATAAATGGAAGATGACTTGGCCAAGCGCACTAACATTCGGATGCAGGTTAATGGAGTAGTTAAGAGGTCGTGTATTCGCCACTAATGTTAAAATTTTTCACTTATATTGAGTTGAAATGACCCGTTTATGTGTTTTGTTTCCGGTAAGTGATTGCTGCATGCGGGGGAGCCCTGCTCGTATTCGTCTCTACTATCTACACAAACTGTTAGCATACTTTTAGGCGGAGAAGGTTGTTGAATGTTCCATGTACAGGAGTTTGTTTTCAGGAAAAATATAGGTACATTTTTGAGGCGTGGTGAAATGAGTAGAAGAGCAATTATTCGGACCCTATGCTAAGAAGCGTAAATAGCTATCCGAAGCCTTTGTATATGTTACTCATTACGTGCTATTTTTTCTTCAGTCAGCGTGACGATAGAGTGATTATAAGTGAATCACTTTTGGGTCCCAGATGACTTACAGATAATATTGATGCTCCGTGCAATTACAGAAACATACAACTACATGTGATTTTGAAAGGACAGAGTGACGACAAGAGGCAACCTTTAGAAAATTGGGAATCGAGGTAGGTTCATAGAAATGCCAAGATGAAAGAAAAAAACACATAGGAGGAACACGGCATAGACTGGAAAAAAAAATAGATGAACCAATACCGTGTCTATAATGATCTCAGGCAACTGAATGAACTTATCGGTGCAATGACTCTGAATGCAGACTAACGCATACTCATGACGAAAATAGATGAAATTAGGCAACTATATGAGCGAGTAGATTAACAAGAATATAAAGGGACGATTAAGGCGCCAGATAAGAGGCACGACGGAAGAGTAAATACTAAAGAGTCGGCCGGAGCAAAATATACTAAAAGTTGCGAAATGCCGTGTTAGTGGGCCACTTAAGGGTCTATGTCTTTACATATAAAAAATTCCTCTTCTTACCTTCGACTTATCGTGGATCTTATTCAAATTGTTTCAGAGGAAGAGTCGTATTAGAAGAATAGACGATTACTTATTCAATCTCTGGCCTCTGGTTCCTGGCAGCTTTCGTTGTTCATTTTCTTGTGCTGGTTTCACGGTCACATCTGAAAAAATAATTGTAAAAGAAAATGAAAGCTGGTCACTTATAAGAAATGTGGCGACATGATTTGTATGTGTTCTGTTACAGCTGCGATCATACCGTCTTCGTGACGCCATGGCTACGGCTCAGCAACGTCGTCGAGCGAGCACTAGTCCAATTGTTTCACCTTCATCACCACACCGAATCTTCCCTCCCAAAGGCTTGGTGTCTGCCTCGGTAACTGTATCATATCCCGGCAGCCAAACAGGGTAGGTTACATTCATTTCGTCATTTTCCAGCAGGTATAATAATTTGATTACTCAAATTTTCATAAATTCCTGACTCGTCAGTGGAAATTTTTGGAAAAAAAGATTATGCTCTGATGGAAGACTGAGATTTCATGCTGTACAGGCGCGATGATTAGCCGGCTGTGGATTGTTTAGGAAGATATTGTGAAATCATGATGGTGGTCGGATATGCTTTTAAGTTTACTTGTAAATTACGGTATGATCGGGATAATTTCTTCGTATGACTTCCTAGGAGCCATCTCCACCAATATTCAAGTTGACAACAGCCTAAAAAATGTCTTAATAAAATTCCTCCGGAAAACGAAGATTGCTCACGAACCAAGGGTTTTTTCAAGTTCCAAGGCGTAGCCCTAAACCTTTACTCTAGGAGAGTATGCTATCCGTTATTTTAAGCACGCTGAGCGCTCTAAACCGCATGCCCCCCTTACTGGAGCCGACTCTAAATTTCTTTGTTCATAAGAAATCAGGAGATATAATCGACGGAAGCTAAAGGCTATCTTGAAGGCAAGCTTTGAAATGTCCTTTTTCAGTGATCGTTCTGGAAGTGTAGATCGAATTTTGAGACGAAAATCGGCATCGAATGTTGGTATGAACAAAACGAATTGAAGAACCGTCCTGGAAGTTCCAAGCATTCGATTCACTGTGTTCTCGTTCGTCGTTAATCTTATTGTGGGTCTTGTACTGGCGAGCTTACTCCCTAAAAACCGATCACTTCAGGAGAGACCTTTGTGAACTCCTGTTGAAAACAGTGCTCTTATGACCAATTCTCTGGGTGAACTCCTGTGTAAAATACGATTACCGCTGAGTTGTTCACTATGTTTTGACTAATGTTAGACATTCGCATCTAACCCAATCAGAGAACTGGTGTATTGTACCGTATCACCACCGTATCCCCGAACACCGTTTTACCTCGTGTGGAAGCTTCATTTTCATTTCATAGAGGCTACTTTCAACTGTTTCAGTTTCGTTATTAAATAATTGTGATGTTTCTGTACGATGTAAATAATGCTGTTATCTCACGAGCACAACTAAAGCTGGTGTGGCATCTTCGACCGAAATTCAAACCCTTTTCGTCGGGTATACTTGCACTGGGTGGCAGTGAGGCTCGAATGGTGCTTTGCTGGATGCTACAAAGTGAAGCGCGCCCTCAAATGCTACTGTGCTATGGTGCCCTTATCGTGTGATTATTTCTGTATAGCTTGAATTATGATGTGCAATTTAATCGTTATGCAATAAATGTTTTGAATATCGTAGCTAACTTGTAGCGCACTTGCTCAGTAAGCAAGAGGTGCGGGTTCGAGTCCCGTCTGGGGTGAAAGTTTTATTCACAACACACATCAATACACATCCTTCTCTTATCGCCTACTCGCCTACTCGCCTAATCGACTACTCGCCTAATCGCCTAATCGATACGTATACTTTTCTTTTTGAATCATCGCCTAATCGCCTAATCGCACGTACGATCGCCAACTATGAACGCTCCAGCTTTTGAAGCGACGTGCCGTTTCCTTATCTGCTATGATATAGCATATCACATGGAAACACGTATGGGAGTATGTTTCATTTCCTATTCTTCTCGGCCTACAGTATACTCGTCTACAATGACTGTTTCTAGTGATAAGTACGATCTTTTTCCAATAGCACTGGCTTGACTTGTTCGGCAAGTAATGGTATTAAGTGTAGGCTCAAGTTTGCCAAATGAGCGACAAAGGCGGCTTTGGTTGATATTCAATAGATAAAATAAAAAAGGATAAAGCATTTGCCGTTGATCAATCCCTTTTTGGGATGCGGCACGCATTCTACTTCCATTTGTACATTCGTAGTGGCGTTTGAATGCGATGTGGCCTATACAATGACTTGCGGGGGCCAGCCGATGTACAAGTCAGTGTTTTTATCCTCCCAGACAAGTCTGGTACCAATTAACCGACCCCGGAGGGATGGAAGGCTTGGTTGGCCCGGGCGACTCACGACCCAGGATTTGATCCCCGGACCGCTCGCGTGGTAAGCGTGCCACTTGCCACTACACCACTTCCGCCCTCAATAGATAGCTCGCTTTGAAAAAATATGACAGTGATTACCTTACGTAGTCGGAACATGTGCGTGAATGAGGGATGTGGATTTGATTCAATAGTGTTACGTGCCAGGATAAGAATGGGACAAACCTTGCTTCATGCTAAGGTAGAGTCCACAATCGCCTCGATGTGGACTAACACTCAGAAATGAATGTATTGATAAAAATTGGATTGCTAATGAAGGAAATGGGACCTGCACAACCACACAAAAAATAGGGTTTCTTGGGCGCTGGATGAGTCGACAAAGAAAAAAACACTGGGCGCGTAGATGAGGGAGCATATGGTCAAGGGAGCGACGGACATCAGCACAATCGCAGTAGTAGAGGTGCATTGATGCAAGTCATAGGTAAAGTGCGCTCTCACCATAGAATTGCTCCGATGAAGTAACCATGGAATGTGCTCTTGAAAGGAAGGGCGCTCATGTCCTTTGAGGAACATCAACAGGGTTGATGGTAAGTGACACCAGGACTAAGGAGAACACAAACTACTCACATCTTCTCCAGAGTCCCTTCCATTTTCCAAGGCCCAGCCCAGTAATTGGAGAACTCGTTTGAATGTCCTCCCCCAACTACATAAGCCCCGAATCATTACTAGAATAAGTTATTTATGTTTTAAGGGACAAGTGGTCTGTCAAAGAGATGTTACCGCTATTTGCTTGCGACGCTGATCAAGTTCAGCTTCGACGAATTGGATACACGGTGCATCAAGATGCACACGGACACGGTGCATCAGATGCACAAACGAGAGGGTAAGACTTACCCTTGTAATTTCAACCTGAAACAGATGCAAGCATCGCGGCCAAATGTGCACGCACTCGTGTGCACTGACTGGGGTAAGCCGGTGCTATGTGATTTGGAAGGGTCACGCGGCTGCACGGCGTCTCAAATGTCGATGGCAAGAAAGGAAAACCTATGTAACAAATTGTGAAAAACGGTTCTCTTCTCGAAAAGCTGTGTAAATGGTCACGATAATAATTATGTTCAATACTGCCTGATGGCTCTGTCAAACACTTCATTCAATGATTAGGAGGCATAGGAGACTGTGGAAAACTGTCTCAAAAGATTTTGTCATGCACTGTACGTCGGATATTGAATGATTGCCAACCTGACTGAAGCGCCATGGCGAGTTAAAAGCCTTTTGAGCACGAGCGTAAACATACGAAAAGTGTGCTCAATCAGATACTGAACAACGACCCCGAAGGAATTTCTGGAGTTCAATGGTTGATTAATTGTGAGGGCGCTAGCATGCGAAAAATGAAGAAATAACTTACGATAAGTATGAGCAAAGATTCTCTTAGAATGAAGGAGGCGCGGGCAGAGAGGGGTAATAAAACGTTGCTGCGCCTGGCTCAATTAACCATGCGAATTTGAATTAGCTCGCTTACGGCGGGTCGTAACTCGTTGCTACACGTTTAAATTATCGCTATTTTGACTTGTTTTGTTTGTTAACTGCTGTTTTAACGCCGCAGTTCGCGTTGCGAATGTTTCACAAGAATGCTGGGTTGTGAACAAAACTTTCGCCCCAGGCGGGACTAGAACCCGCACCTCTCGCTTTCCGGGCAAGTGCGCTACCAGTTACGCTACCGGGGCACCATTTCATTCCAACTCAGCTTTCGCACTTGCCCGAAAGCGAGAGGTGCGGGTTCTAGTCCCGCCTGGGGCGAAAGTTTTGTTCACAACCCAGCATTCTTGTGAAACATTCGCAAGGCGAACTGCGGCCAAAAACAGCAGTTAACAAACAAAAAACAAGGTCAAAACTAATAGCGACGTAATCTAAACGTGTAGAAAAGTTACGTTCGTATTACCCCATGAAGTTTTGTGTAACAACTCAGAATTCTTTTAGTGACTATAAAGTTAACGTTGTAAGACCTAGCGAACTTTTTCAGCCACTTTCGAAGCCAGAAAACCCGAGCGGTGATGCGGAGGCTACTATAATCCACACTAAACCGGCTGTCAATAAGATAGTTGATCCTACCGGAGCTCTCCTGGAAGTGCCGCATTAATTTCGCTCCAGTCAAAAATTATTGGTTATCTAATAGAAACACCTCAGGTATAAGGACCCAGTGCCTCAGTCAAGTTGAAGGTAATGTTCATTTTCCTCAAAATCCTACGTTTAGTCCTACAGGATGCCCCATATCCGTTGGCTCACATATGTATATAATAAAATTTTCGTTTTGAGGTTAATTTATAACTATCACGTCGTTTGGACAGATAGGACGAATTCAACATTTTTGACATGGAAATGTCTTACACAAGAAATTTTGAAATCTGGGAAAGGTATGTACTCCTAGCTCATCACAGGATTATCAGTTATTCAGACTATTACATTATACGAAGTTATACGATGGCACGTTGAATTGGTGTTCGTTGGAAAGGAAATTCGGAGCACTAAATGGTGCCGTTTTGAGAGAAAAAACAAAGGAAACGGCTCAAAACGCGCAAAACGGGACCTTTGTTTTCTCGCTGAAGGTGTTTCAAGGCGCTGATGTCATGAACGTTAACGCTGTGCACTGCTCTTCTGTTAGAAGGGCTAGATTGACAGCCAGAGAAGAGCAGTCATCGAAGGACGACCCACTATGGGGGGTGCAGGGCTCTAAGGCATTCAGGGGGACGCTTTGAAGGCCTAATTACTTACAGGGGATGCGCTCTTTCCGCAAAAGCGCTACATCTTACTAAAGAGTAGTTCTTTGTATGGTAGGCATAATAGCCTTCTTCACCATCCAATTTATCGACTACCTGCTTCGAAATCATCGTACTTCGTGAAAAGTGCCCTATTTTCAGTTGAATTACGCGTACCAGTACCGTGCGACGGTCCTTGCGGTGGAATGATGACGGCCTTGATTACGTTGAATTCGGCCTTTGCGATCATAATGTATGCCGGAACTGCTACGAAACAGCCGCAAGTGCTGATCACGACGGTATGTTACGTTGAACAGTTGGCGTAGGTAACAGACAGGGAAATTTAGATAGGTCCTGAAAGGCACATGCGGGCAGTTAGCGACACACCGTCAATATGTCATCATTTATGAACCAGAGAAATTACGTAGACCGAAGCTGAAGAGGAACAAATGAGAGGGCTGACCTAACATTTCAGACAGGAGGAGGGCAACCTGCGCGCTAAAGGAATTTGGCTAAAATTATCTTCACTCAAGGTCAACGCGGCCCATCCGTCCAAGATCCCTGAAGTCCCAAAGCACAGTCCTGCAAGTGTGGAGCTGGCGTCGGAAGCCGCAATTCCTTGCCGAAATCCAGACTTCGAGCTATCAGCCGCTAAATCAAGAAACGTAAGTGTGATTGAACAAAAATGACCTTGGAAGGATCGTTAGGAGGGGTGAAGTGGGCGGGATTGCAGTCGGTTTGGTCCGAGCACGCCCAACCTGCTGGGACTGTTGCTTTGATTGGGAATTCACCTCTATCTTCGAGTGCTACTCTCCCATCCTACATGGAATGTGTGAATTTCCTAATGAAATGCCCGCTGAGAGCGAGGAGGACGGTGACCTCAGGCAAGAATACTCATAATACCACGAATACTTGG